GAGTTCCGTGCCCCTCACATAAGCCAAGGCAAAGGGGTAAGCAATGTCACACAGCAGCGAGGTGCCGATGATAATCCCCGAAACAGGATGGAAGATGAAGCCATGGGCCTCGGGCCAGTACCACCACAGAAGACCGCATGCAAGAGGGAGTCCCATCTGTGATCCAACAAACCGGCAGAACCTAGGCGCACACCTGTTAGCCCGACCACTATCCGAGACAATCATGGTCACGAGCCGTTCATTTTAAATCATGGCTTCCTGTTGGCCGCTCGTGCTGAGTGGCTGGCTTAGCTGCCATGGCCCGAGGTGACAGGATTGACCGGTCTTTCAGCTGCCAACAACAATGACAATGGAGCGGAACCAACCAACACACGGCGAAGGAGCATCGGGCGTTCCCGTGGTTATCAGCGATCCGATGATTTTCGGCCGCCGCCATACATGCCACAGTATGTGCGGACACGTTGTGGAGGAGGTAATATGTTGGTGATAGTGACGGGGTGGAAGGGTACATGCATGAGCTGAGCGCCCAAAGGAGAACAGACGTACCAAATTGCATAACTCTGACCACCCGAATGGCCGCGCTGAAGTACCATGGCCAAAGAACCAACACTGAAGGCCATCTGCGCTGTGCCGGCCGCCCACCAGGACAGCTCGGTCGTGTCGCGTGCTTCCTGGCCGAACCAGGTCTTGCCCCATTTGATGCCGTACCCCCTATGCGGTTCCTTGAGCCACCACCACGCAAAGGACGCGTTGGCCGCGACACCCCACAGGAACACAAGGAACAGGATGAGGGAGAAGCGCGGAGCGACGAGCGGGTGCGACCTGAGGGAGCGCGGCGCAGCGCGGAGCGTCGCGTAGAGCACTGGGACGTCGAAGAGGAGCCACAGGGCGAAGCCGAGCTTCTCGAGGATGGAGTCGGCGACATAGACTACCCAGACGACCTCCCAGGCGAGATTCACACCGAGCGCGATCAGGGGCATGGGCGTGTCTCTTGTCTGGAGCGAGCGCCGGACCATGAGGACATACGCCGCCAGCCAGAAGAAGACGCCCAGGCCCAGGCAGACGGTTGAGGCCGGTATGAGCCACGCCGGCGCTGATGGGGGTGGGATATCCGAGGAGCCCATGATTCTAATGTTCCCGAACTTCCTCAGTCCGGAATATGTTTGACTCGACGATCGTGACGATGTGCAACCAGGTTGGCTCAATCCATGGCGTATTTCTGAGGTAGTGCTGACCTAATCCACCTCACCGCTCCTGCCTCCAGGTCATGTTGCTTCGTTTCGCCAGTGCTGAAATAAGCATTGCAGGGACCTCTCTTTATTGACGCTGCTTCCTTGAGATTATGTGCTTAATTCTTCTTTTGACCCATTTCATGAATCTGGTCGTGGGTGTTTACGTAGAGTGGCTGGCATGGCATCGTTCAACTCCATTGGGTTCCAGAAACAACTGAATTATGTGCTTTTTTTTTGTTTTCTATTTGTCGGTTTGAATCATGAGTCTGATGTTTCATTTGATATTTATACATCATATTGGTAGGTTGATCTCTCGTTGTTGGTCACACCATGTGGAGGTTTGAATATTCAGATCGGTTTCATATTAGAAGGAGGCTCGAGGGGTTCCCTCCCCAGAAGTAGAATCAGCAGGTTTAATGACAAAAATTCCATTTTCTACCTCTAGCATCACAGTCTTCTTTGTTTTCCGCTCTTTACGTGGCGTTCCTGAAATATGAAGACAGATAAATAGAGTATGAAGATCATTTTGTGTTTCATATATCAAGTTAGAAGCCCCTTCTCCAGCCCAACGACAGCCTGATTCCACCCTCTAACCCCAAAGGTTCAAACCGGCTGTTGCAGTTCGGACATCCATCACTCAAGACTGCTGAAGCTCAAGGTGGAACGACCGAAGGATGCTGTCCGTATCATCAATGGCAAGGGGTCTGATGTCGGCCATCTGCTTGATCTTGGCGGTCCTGTTTCGCTCCCTGTCAGCTTCCGTGCCTCAACGCTGTTCCGACGCTCGAAACTTACACTTCCTTGACCTGCTCATCAGTCATGCTGAGGCCCAGCTGCTCAGCTCTCGAGCGAACGGCATTCCAACCGGTTCTGGCCAACGTCAGTTTCTAACCACATCTCGGCTGAATTTTAAGCGCGGCTTACATGCGGCTGTTGATCGACACGTAGCGAGAAAGACCGAATATCTCAGGATTGAGGATCTCATATGTCTCGAAGGAAGTCAGCTAAAAAAAAAAGGGCCATATTTCCCTTCATATGGAAGGTTCTTACCGAAGGGTTGGCGAGGATAGCCTTGGCGTGGATGCCAGCCTTGTGTGTAAATGCGCAAAAGCCCCTGCCACGATATTAGTCCCGGGCAAACCTTTGTAGCTTGGGAAGAGCGGTGACTGACGTGACTGGGTTGTTAAACGGGATATTGATCTCTACTGCATCGGCAACCAAAGTCTCGAGAGCCTTCAGCTCCTTGAGATTGTACTTGGACGTTGTGTACTCGGGGGCGGTAACAACCATTCTTGCCATGAAAGCGCCTTTTCAGATTAGTAAGGGCTCGATGCTAGTTTCAAGATTAACATACCCAATGGCGTGATGCCGTTTCGCTCGCCTAGTTTCTGCATGTTAGTTTTGTGCAGAATGTCTTGCGGCTTGTGAGTTGCTCACCAATGCCGAGGACAGATGTGTCAACATGCGTTGCGCCAGCCTCAAGTGCACAGAACGCATTTCTTATAATGAAGCATCAATACCAGTGCTCAAGAAACAAGTAAAAAACCAGGCAATTAAACTTACGCCTATGGTTACAAAGCATTGACGTCAGCATACGAAAGAACGTACATAAAGATGCGGGAGGACTTACCACTGAACAGCCAGTATCGTCATGGAACTAGGTAGTCAAAGAATTAGTGTGTTGATGAGGGCACAGATAATATGTAGCTTCTCAAGGACCTACATGGCACTCAATATCACAGCCAACAACACCTACAAAGCCAATCAATTAGTCGGTTTCTCAGGCAAATCCTAACACCAAATGCTTACCACGAAGAGTGCGGACCACGTCATACGTCATACGGGGAGTTGCTGAAATCATTTAGTTAGAATAAAACCGAACGTCGGATCGATAATCGTGAGTGTCAACCGCAAACGAAAACAAGGAATGCAAGACATACCCCCACCGCTTCTATTAGTTAGCAAATCGCTCATTTATTCAGCTGATGGGGAAACTAACACGGTGTCGGCAATACCAACGCGGTGCACACCCGCTCTATCGACCGCCTTGTAGAGCGAGAGGATATCAACCAGGTCAGAACGGAAGGAGTCCTCAGAGGAGAATCGGATCTCAACATTTTGACTGTAGAAAAGAGTCGGTCAGCCTTGATACCCGGTTACTGCAAATTGACACCCAGCCGTGGGAGGCTGTGCCGCCGATTGATTAGTTTTGCAATCTTACCTCTGCAGGTATGAAATCACCTCCAACGCCGTCTTCTGGATGATCTCCATGCTCTTTCCGTGGCTGTACTCTCGGAGATACCTCGAGGTTCCAATGACCAAATCTACACCATCTACTCCGGCCTCGACAGCCCTCTTGGCGTCGCCCATGTGACACCGGACATGAGTAAGAATCTTGGCCTTGAGGCCGAGGTTGGAGATGGTCTTGCAATCTTGGAACGATTGCTCCGAGCTGCAAGGATTCGTAAGTTCGATATAATCGACGCCGAATGAATCGAGCGCCTTGGCACTACACACCGTGTTAGCATTGGAACGCAGCCATGTGGAGATATAGAGAAACACCAGGAGCAGCCCATACATCTTGACCTTGGTCTCTGTGTCAAAAAAGGCATTGGCAAACTGTTCACCTTCGCGGAGAGTGCTCTCGATGATCTTGTAGCTGTTAACATTAGAGATATAGTCCTGGACGGCCTGGTAGGGCGAGGCCGGGGGCGGCCGCTGGACGGTGGGCGCAGTGCCGGTAGATTCCTCGTTCCCGCACATTGTTCTAATGTGTCGAAAAATGGTGCTGATTTCTTGTTGGGGGAAATTTCAAGGGTTTGGAAAGGAATAGATGATATCAGATGGCGGATGAGCTTCAACTCTACTTCTTGGACTGTGTAGAACTTCAGCTAGAAGGATGGCCAGGTTTATATATTTTTATATCTACCGGCGCCGGTAAACTAAGTGGGAATCCGGGGCCGGCATGATGGATCGTAAAGGGGCCGTATAACAGTCATTCATGCCGATGGCGGCGGATTTTGGTGGTTCGGCGGACATCCGACGAAGTGACTCAAGTATGTACGAGCTCGAGGATATACTCAATACCTGTGAATGACTCATTTCCTTTATGTCTAAAACAATATTGACAATATTTGCGGTACGTTGGAATTTACTGGAGGCTCAATTTGGCTTCTTAAGGGTTCCCATACTCACGAACTTGCGATCGCCGGCATTGGGCAGAGTATCAAATTCGGGGCATGCCCGTGACACAGAGCGTGTTGCCTCCTTGTCGAACATAGCGTGCTCGCTCGTGATTCCGAATGTGGATTGAACACTAATCTTCAGGATGGTACGGAAGGAACTGGCGCAATCTGAAATACGACTGGCAAATAAGTGTTCACAGATGAAGGAGAGACAACATTGAGGAACCAGTCCTATCCTCACAAAACGCAATCCGAGCAAATAGATATTTGTATGATTAAAGTACACGGGAACAAATTCTGAACAAATTACATCTTGCATTCAAACAATATACCTAAGCATGTGGACTATTATATATCCTTGTGAGCCTCGAAGGCTAAATGCTAATCCCTTTCCATCAACTCTGCCCCCCCCCCCAAAAAACATCATCTCGTGAAATCAATGCACATTTCCATCCAACACGACTAACCTGCCAATAATATTTCGTGGGTATCACTCGATAAAGGGTCGCGTTATTAGCTTTCCAAGCCTTCCCAATCATAAACCATCATTCATCCCTCCGCCTCTCCTTAGAGTTGAACCTACCTAGTTATCAGCCTTAGGCGTAGGTGCGTCGGAGTCAGCTTCTTGGTTGGGCGTGGCAGAAGGGGTTTCACCCTCCTTGCCATTGTCTTTCTTGGTAGACGCGTTCTCCTCAACTTCCTTCTTCGTGTCCTCAAACTCTTGGAGCTTCTTTTCCATCGCAGCTATCTTGTCAAATGCGCCTTTCTTCTCATCCTCTACTGTCGAGAGATTGATCTGGGCTTCCTGAAGCTTCGACATGATTTCGGTTTCAAGCCCTTTGGAAATCTTGATCTCATCTTCAGCGGTTTGCAGCTTCTTTTGGACCTCCTGAAGCTGGGCTTTCAGCTCGGCCTCCTCTTTTTGGGACTGGAGGGCTTCCGAGTCGAGCTGAGAAATCTTGGCTTCGAGTTCAGCTTTTTCCTGTTTCTTGGTTAGTTGCGGCATCTGAAGTCTTCTAGATCTTATTACATACCTTCGCCTGAGACTCAATCCCTTCTTCTGCTTTCGCGGCCTTGCCCTCGGCTGCTTCGAGTTGGGAAGTGAGGTCCGACAGTTTTGCAGTCTGTTCTTCGTGCTTCTTCTGCAATTGTTCGTGCTCATCTTCAATAGCCTTCACCTTCTCACTGCCTGCCATGTGCTCCTTGAGACTAGCCTCCAGTTTCTCAACCTGCGACTCATGCTCCTTCTTTAAAGATTCATGGTCTTCGGACAATGCTTTGAGCTTCACCTCGAATGCTTCGGCTGCCTCCTTTGCATTATTCAATTCGGAATTCTTCTCAGTTAGGCTGGCTTGATTCTTTTCTTCGATTTCTTTGAGCTGGTTTGTTGCCGTCTGAGCCTCTCCCGTGAGAGTTTCATGTTGTGTTTGGAGAGAGGCGTGCTTTTCTTTCCACTCATTGCTCTCTTTCTTCGCAGCTTCGAGCTCTGAGGTCCCTTCATTCTTGAGCTTTTCGTTGGCATTCTCAGCTTCGGATAAACTAGCTTGGAGCGCTTGGTGTTTCTTTTCCGCTTCAGCCAACTCCGTGGCCAGTGATTCCGACTTTTTACTCGTTTCCTCTTGAGCAAGCTGAATGCCGTTGTGTCTTTCCTTCCATTCTTCTACTTCCTTGCGAGCAGCCTCGAGGTCAGCAGAGCCTCCAGACTGGAGATCCTCGTTGGTTCTCTTGACTTCCAATATTTCAGCTTGGAGAGCCTCATGTTTCTCCTTCATCTCAGCTAGCTCCTTGGAAATAGCCTCCGAAGTTGTGATCAGGGTATTCTGCGCCGCTTGCAAGGCCTCATAGTTCTCCTTGACCTCAGCAAGTTCCTTCGCTGCAGCCTCTGATGTCTCACTCAAAGTCGACTGTGTGGCCTCAAGAGCGCCGTGCTTTCCCTTCCACTCTTCCACTTCCTTCTTAGCAGCCTCAAGGTCAGCAGCGACTCCAGACTGGAGCTCTTCATTGAGCTTCTTGATCTCCAAGATCTCCGTCTGCAGAGCATCGTGCTTTTCCTTGGTCTCGGCGAGCTCCTTTGCTGTGGCTTCCGATGTCTCGCTTAATGTTGATCGTGTTGCCTCAAGAGCACTGTGCTTCTCCTTCCATTCTTCGACTTCTTTCTTGGCAGCCTCTAGATCAGCAGAGCCTCCTGATTTCAAATCTTCATTGAGTTTTTCTGCCTCCAACAACCTAGATTGGATCGAATCCCGACTCTCTTTGATTTCAATCAACTCTTTGGCCGCAGCGTCAGAGGTCTTGTGCAAATCATCATGGGAAGTTTGCAGAGCATCATGCTTCTCCCGCCACTCCTCGACTTCCTTCTTGGAGGCATCGACGTCCGCAGATGAGTTGTTCTTAAGTTCCTCGATGGCCTTTTCTGCCTCTAGAAGTTTGCTTTGGGATGAGTCCCGGTCCTCTTTTACGTCGTGTAATTCTTTGGCGGTGGCATCGGATGTCTTGGACAGGTCCTCGTTAGTGGCTTGGAGAGCATCATGCTTCTCTTTCCAGGCCTCCAAATCTTTTCGGGTAGCCTCGAGTTGCTCTATGTCGGCCTTTGCTGATTCATGATCTTTCTCAAGCTCTGCAAGCTTTGCCTGGACGGCTTCCTTCTCCTTGTCGGCAGCATCAAGTTGCGCCTTCGTACTTTCGACCAAGGAGTCATGGGTGGCCTGAAGAGCAGTATGCTTCTCCCTCCAATCCTCCAACTCCTTTTTTGTAGCCTCGAGATCCGAAGAACTGCCCTCCAATGCTTCCGAAAGTTTTGATTGAATAGACTTATTTTCTTCCTCGGCATCGGCCAGCTGCTTCTTTAAAGCTTCGAGCTCTGACAGATCACCTTTCAAAGACTCGTATGCTTTTTCCAGGTCCGATAACTTCGACTGAATCAAGACTGTCTCGTCTTGGGCGTCTGTAATTTGCTGTTTCGACGCCTCTGCATCCTTAGCCAAGGTTACGTGGGCATTTTGAAGGGCGTCGTGCTTCTCTTTCCACTCCAGGGCTTCTTTCTGTGCCCCGTCAAGGTCCGTAGTCGCACCCTTCTTCAGTTCTTCGTTGATACCTTCCAGATCGGCCAGTTTAGCATTCAGATCGCTCATCTCCGTCTTGTATGACGATAACTCTGCCTTAGAATCTGCCTGCAATTTTTCGTAGGCCTCCTTTGAGGTCTGGTGATTCGACACAGCAACAGCCAAGGCAACCTTTTGCTCCTCCAACGCCTTTTCAGAAGCTGCGAGCTCATCCTCCAACTTAGCGGAAGCCTCCTTTATCGATGATTGTTTGCCTTCCGCCTCAGAAATCTGTGCTTTTAGTGCTGAGATCTCGTCCTTGAGTGAACCCTCCAGGGCATCGTGTTCTTCCTTGACCTCGAGCAACTGTTTCTTTATCTCGGCCAATTCATCATCGACACTCTTGCGCTCCTCCTGGGCAGTCTGGAGATTTTGTTCGGACTCCGTAAGTTGCGCCTTGAGGCTTGAAATCTCATCCTGAAGCGAAGAGCCTGCAACGCCCTGGTTTTCCTTCAGCTCAAGTAGCTCTTTGGAAATTGCGTCGCGCTCATCCTCAGCAACCTTGGATTTCTGCTCGACATCGGCAAATTGAGCTTTGATGGTTTCCAGCTCCCCCTTCAATGTGGCGTCGGCTGTGTTGGCAGCATCATTGGCCTCAGCCAACTGTTTGCTGAGAGAATCTCGCTCCTCCTGGAGAGCTTGCAGCTTCTGTTCCGCCTCGGCTGCCGAAGCTTTGAGAGTCTCGGTCTCTTCCTTTGCTGTACTGCCCTGGGCTTCAACGCCCGATTTCAATTCAGTCAACTCGTTGGCCAGTGTCGTTCGCTCGGCCTCGATAGTCGCCAGCTTCTGTTCAGCATCGGCAGCCTGGAGTTCCAGCGCGGCCACCTTGTCCTTCAATGGGCCTTCTTCAGCATCTCTATCGGCCTGCAAAGCGCGATATCCATGGTCGGTCTCGGCGAGTCTGTCTTTAAGGCCGGCAATCTCTTGCTCCAGCGCAGCTTGGACACTGTCGCGCATCTCCTTCGCTTGAGTAAGCTCTGCGCGCAGTTGATCCCGCTCATCTTGAGTAGCTTGTAACTTCTTCTCGGCCTCGGAGACCATCAACTTCAGAGATTCGATCTTCTCATCATTCTCCTGGTTTACCTGAGCCATTTGCTCCTTCACTCGCTGCAGCTCTTCCTCGTGAGGGTTTCTCCCCTCCTGAAATGCCTGCAGGTGTTCCTCCAGTACGGCCTGGGCTTTCTTGGATTCCTCAAGCTCCTGCGTACGAGCTGCTGTGGTTTCTTCGGCAGCATCATTTTTTGCCTTGAATTCCTGCTCAAGTTCGACGAGAAGACCAGAAATCTCATACCCATACGCGACGCGCTGGGCTTTCAACTCCTTCAATTGCTTTTTCAACACTTCCGTGTTTTTGCCGAGCAGAGAGCACTCATTCTGTCTTTTGAGCAGGCTTTTCTCTAAGGAATCGATGGTTGACTGTCTGTCGGCCAGTTGTTTCTCTAGATCCTCCCTGACCTCTTTTGAGATTCCTTCTGCGTCATCCCGTCGGTGGGTGAGGAAACTGACTCTTCTCAACTTCCCCATATCAAGTAGTGTTTGTGGTGGTGTTCTCCCGTATGCGCAGTAGTATGAAGAACTGAAATGGTGATGGCTGTATAGCAGGGTATATACCTACTAATGACGTTTGGGTTCCTTTGTTAACAAGCAAACCCGAGCGACCAAGCGGATGACAAAATAGAATAAGGAAAACGGTCTTCGGTGTGTGAAACAAATTCAAAATGGTTTAACCGGAGGGGGTGCATCACGCATACACGGAAAGCTCTCATCGTCTTATTATGGCCCGAACTGGGCTGCAGCCACTATTACATCGTTGGGCTCCGCTCGCTCACCTAAACCGCCCAGGTGGAGAACTGAAGTGTACGGGCATAACGCACATCCTATCAACTGTGGTCCTGCAGTTCGTGGAAATCCCTTGGACAAGGATGGCAGTCCTTGATTCGTTTTCTGATGTGGTCCCTCCCAGAAACTCGGTGTCTAGGACGCATTCCCAGAGGTCCATGCTGCCCAAAATGAGCTGCATAAACGCGGGAGATGCGATGTGATAAGCACACGAGCAAAATGCAGGGAAGTGCCCAGGCGGACAAGGAAGCACTGGCAGAAAGATGATCGCTATTACATGCCACTAATCCGGGGCATTGGTCCCGAGCCTTTCATTTCGATCACGGCTGACATTTTGGGATAGTTCTCAATGCCATCGCCTGGGTGTTCATAACAGCATTTGAAACCATCAGTTAGGCCGAACGACCAGGCGAAAATGCTCGGCCACGAGGCGGTAAACTCATAATTGACCCAGCTGAGCTGTCTCTGATTCATGTTCAATCCGAAACACTAGCATTGAAAGGCGTCACGGCCAAAACCAACGCAGCACACTTCAAACAGCCAGCGTGCTTGCTTGCTTCTCTGCTTGCTTGCCTGGCGCCATGACTTGAAGTTGATCCCGGCAAAACGCTAGCAGAAGCGCCAACAGGGCCTGGACGGACCCCCTGACTGACGTGGCACCTGTCACCATATGCCCGGACAACACACCGCTGCCAGGTCTGGGTTTTCGACTGAGGGATGCAACATGCTGCCCAACGGCCCCGGCGGTGCTTGGTAAGATGCGATTGACAAGGCTGTCACATGCAAGCCAGAGATGACCAGATGGAAATGGGGAGAAATACTCCGTCCAGAAAGCATGCCATCAAGCAGTGAGTGACGAAGGAGAGAAAAAGCAAGGACCCTGCCTCTCAGCATGCATGAACGCTGACGGGAGCGGTGGGGCCACTTGCCTCCCTGTGCGTTACTGCCACTCCGGCTGGTCTTTCCCTCCTGCAACCTCTAAAAGGCATGAATTGAGTTTGGGCAGGTACTGACGTAGGAAGCTGATGTGCTCACCTCTTCCACTCACGTTCAATCCCTTTCTTTTCACCTACCCTACCCCTCACTCTACCTACCGGCGCACTCAGACAGACATCAGGCACAACATGATCGTCACTCCGTTCCCTGACCGACTAATGGGGTGAGGCCTAAACATCAATGCTGTCACCTAACTACCCTTTGAGAAGGGCTAGTCTGAGGTGTCCAATGATGAGTAGTAACTAAGTCGGTATGTTTCACCAGGCTTAAAGTATCCAACCACGTAGACGCCTCACTGTTTGACTTGGCCGCCAGCTCAGCAGGAGAAAGGGTCTAAGCAGCCTGAACAGCCACCAAAGCAGCCCTAAGCGTTCAGGTGATGTCAGTAATCCTAATCATATGTGGTCTAACAACGAAGTCGTTTACCAAACCAGATCTTCTGTTCGGATCATTCCAGTGAAACACGAAAGGTGTGCAATGAATACTTGCTTCTTGTATGTTTATTTCAGTTGCTGTGAGTGAAGACACATTGCAGCTCATCACTCGGTGTTGAAAGTCTCTTGCCTTTCTTCCATATCGTGTGATTCGAACTTTCATGGCCAATTGTTATTACCGATACTGGGTTCATGATGCGAAGAAAGTTCAGAAACAGACCAATGAACCCAGTGAAATTATAGTTGCAGTCAATTGCTTAGATGACAGATCACAGGGTAAGTGAGTAAAGCAAAAATAACATAACGTTCCTCATTCAAGTAGACTAATTAAACAAGACATGATGCGGTTGACATGAACATAAGCCAACAGAACACTCAGCCCTCAAATATCGTTAGGGTATAAAGTAAAGCACAAAGGTTATAAAAACAACGACAACCATAACAAAACTACTCCTCCGGACTCGGGGAGACATGGATAACAATTTTACCCTTGGTACGACCCTCCTTCAGTTTCCTAAAGGCATCGGGAACCTCCTCAAAAGAAAACGTGGAGTCAATTATTGCCTTGGCTTTCCCCTCAGCCATCCAATTCCCAATCGGACGGAGGAACTCGGAGCTGTTGTTCATGTTGAGGAAATTATAGCGGTGGCCACCGAATATCTTCGGCAGCACCTGCCTCTTCACTGTTGCAGCCATTGTGCCCATCGTCAACTGGCTACCCACGCCCACCTGATAGTAGGCGCCGTGAGGCTTAAGAATGCTGCCGCTTGCACTGTACAAGTCGGCGCTGCTTCCTACATTGTCGACGATGAGGTCAAAGACTTTGCCCCTCTTCTTCAGATCTTCAATGACATTTGTCTTCTTATAATCGAGGACCTCGTCTGCCCCAATCTGCTTGCACATGTCGACATTCCCAGTTGAGCAGGTCGTGACGACGTCGGCACCAAGGATCTTGGCAAACTGGACGCTCCAGGTGCCGACACCCCCACTGCCGCCGTTGATGAAGATCTTGGATCCAGGCTTGAGCGACTGTGGCGTCAGCGACTGGAATGCGGACGTCGCCGCCGTACCCACCGCCGCGGCCTGGTCCGGATCGACCCCGGAGGGCAGAGGGGAACAGCAAGCGCCAGGTATGACGGTGTACTGCGCCAATGTCCCGCTCTTCCCGGGGTTGTTGAAGCCTCCGAATACGAGCTGGCCGGTCTCGAAGGCTGTGTTGGAAGGGTGCTTGGCGATAACGCGGCCGCAGAAATCCAGGCCGGGCGTCGCGGGCCGTGGGATCACCAAGCGACCCATGAGGCCGGACTCGGCCAGCTTATAGTCAAGGGGGTTGATGGCGGCTGAGATGACCTGGACAAGGAGCTGGTCTCCGGTCAGGGATGAGTGGGCGGGAATGGGTCCCTCGTTGATGGTAAGATGGTCCTCAAGTTTTCCATTGAAAGTCGAGTATTGCCATGATTTCATTGTATCATTGGCCATGGTGGATCTGGATGCCGAGTAATTCGGCGTTGAAAATATTAGGGGGAGGTAAGATACGATTCCTTGTAGCAGTTATATCACATTGATATGGTAATTAAATGTGTAAAAACTCCATCTACCAGGGGAGAAATCCGGCAATTACTCAAATATTTAATGACATCGATGTTCGCCACGACAGCTCGGCGGTTGATGAATTGGGAGCGTCTGGCAGATGACCTCGCAACATCAGGCCACCGCGTGGACAACGGGTGCGCTAGCAGTATCCTGCTACGAGGCTGGGTACGTCTTTAGTGACGAGTCCTGCACTGAATTGAATTTAATGATATTGAACCCGCCGTTTGTTTCATTCATCAATTCATTGGCTGGTCTTCACAGATGGCTAGATGTTCATATTTGTTGGGTTTGTTGTGTGGTTATGTACCTAGGGTAGGCAGGAGGTGAGGAAATGGTAGACCGTTGAGACGCCCCGGGACAATCCGACTTGGCAAACCTAATTTCATAACAATGACATAGCCCGCTCCAAGGATATTATAGAACGATAGAAGAGCCTGCCAAAAAGATTCTGATTGCTTGAATAATTTTTATGATCAAAGTGGGATAAACTCGAGGATTGAATCGAACTGTTTTCGAGTCATGTTAGAGCCAGGCGCCAGGATCCATGCTATCATGCTTATCATTTAAGCTTGTTGGTCTACTGAAGTCACCTAATACACACTAGGTAAATTATAAGCTTAGAGGAGCTCGTGGCCCAGCATCGCCTTCGACCGGTATCAACGAAGCAGTTAACATCTAGCTCAGAGCTAATTTAAAGTGCAAACATCATGAATTATTTACATCCACTGGAAGAGAATCTCCTCCCTGTTGCTCCACGGGACTGTTTTTGCGACTTTTGCACAGGTATTTTGATCGGCATCCACTAGCAAGGACACTGCACTAGGTCGAAGACGCAGCAGACAGGCAATCATCTAAAGACGTGACAGGAGGAGAAATTGATGACCACGCTTTTCAATATCGAGGAATGCCCGTATGCAAGGAACCAAAATTAAATCGCCCCAATTCCTTGGCAGATCGGTCTGTGGGATGAAGAATTCTTCCCCTGGGAGCAGACGCCATGATTCCATCGCCCAAAGACATCTGTCTCGGACTGGGCTGGGTCTTCGGAATGGCCCAGCGAACCAACAATGGGGCGTCGTGTCCCGCCCTCGAACAAAAGGTCGCAGCGTGTCTTGCCCGCTTAGGTAGGTAGCTGGCGTGTTCCCCCGCAGAGAGAGGGGAGCTCAGATGAATGCCGTGCTTCTGCCTGGCATTCCGCCGCCCGGCTTTGTTTCCCAGCTGCCGTATTCATCTAGCTCATGGCGCGACTGGCCAATCCTTCGATAGCTCACTGCTGATCAGCACGCCCGAATCGAAATTCCTCACACGACATATCGGCATCTGATCCCTGCTTTTCTCAATGGGATTGTTGAACCATTGATTAACGCGATGGCGCAATCCAATGCTACCTTCAGATAGGCAAGATAGGTACATAGATAGAAGATTAGATATATACACAATGGGCCGCGATGCATTCCTCTGGTTCACACCCCCCCCCGTCGCGCTCTCCCTCCCTTTTTCTCCGAGGAGTGAATTGGTCAATCACGTAGCAGAACGGTACACCCTCTGAGCATCTTTCATTCCCATTGAGGCCGTCCTGCGCGTTCCGCAGACTACATTAGCCGCCATGGTCCAACTCCGGTCGGGTGTGGTCCCTCTGCTCCTGTCGCTCCTCAATTCCCT